AATCCTAGACTTTGTTGCTTTTCCCTTAATACTTCTGCTTAATATATATAAGTGCTCTTGCTGTTTCTTCTAAAGTCAGTCTCTATAACTCAGTTCTTATTTGATTCAATTTTAACATGCTCTCTTGGGTTGGTGAATTCGTATTTAATGTTTCTGCTTGACAGAATTCTTTTTATATGAGTAATTATTTTAAATCCTTCTCTTTTTTATACATTGTAGATAATTCAATACATTTTTCTCTAAGGACTAATTTATGAGCTGACTACAGTGTTGTTGCTTCCATTAAAGAACTTCTATAAAACTATTTTTGACTATTTTAATTCCCTCTTTAATTGGAAGCTCATATATTACAAACTCATTTTTTTTTCCATATTCTTTGCTTGTGGTAATTTTTTATTGTTTTTATCACTTAGACTATGGTGTTATCCAATCAATTATTCATATGTATGTTACATTTATACATAAATTGGTTTCAGCAGGCAGATGTATAAAATCTAAAATGTTATCAAAGAGCAAAAATAGGACTAACATCCTGACCTCAAAATCAAAATAAAACAACCTTTATTTGGTATCTGGTAAGAAATGGAAAATATAGTAATGGAAGTGAACAGTGGCCCCCAAACTGGCAAAACACGCGTCGGGTCTCTGAGATAACCTGGACACTTCAGACTTTTGCCAATGTTTAGCATAAGAATATTTATATCACTCCAAACCCCTTGTGTTTTAACAGTTCCAGGTGTACTCTTATCTGTTTTCAGCACTGTTAGAATTAGAGACAGTTAGTTTTGGCTTGGACGTTAAGCCCAGGTGCCCTTGAAGCAACAGAATAGAGTCTTGATAACAGTTCCAAAACTTAGATTTTCTCTGCCATCACTCTATAATGTATTTTAAGATTACCAGCATTGTGTAATTTTTTCAGCCCGGGTTCCCCTGTAGATACTCAACAGTGGTACCCACTCTTAGAGTGCTGGCAACACTACAAGTACTATGTTGGTATAGATTTTATAGGAGACTTACTTGGCAACTAGATGCTCTTTCATTAGCATGGTTTAGTTGAGGTTCCCCTCTCTCTTGTGTAATTCGATTACCAGACTGCAACATAGTTGCGTTTTGGCTTGTTACTGTTTCAATATAGAATTATTTGGGTAATTGTGAAGTCTCTTATACGTGCCTCATTTGTACTTATTGTTATAGCTTGTTACAGAGTCAAGATCCCCTCAATACTTTATATCCTTTTATTTTAGGGATTTGGTCTCGGTATCCATAATACATAGACTGATACACCACTATACTTATATTGTATATATGTAGTCAAATCTTTTGTTTTCCCTTGTCTCTTTGTACACCTGTAAATACTTGGTACACTTTAGATTTAGTTTGCATGTTTGTTTTTTTTGTCCATGTGGCAGTAATCTATTAATTCTGTTCACTTGTATTGCTATATTTTCCATTTCTTACCAGATACTAAATAAAGGTTAAGTTTTATTTTGATTTTGTTTCTACTTTGAGGTCAGGGTATTAGTACTATTTTTGCTATTTAAATTGTTTTGGGTTCAAGACCCCCTTTTCTACCCTTTGACCTGACTAAATACACATTTAACATGTTTCCTACCACCCTTTCTTAAAAACTGTAATGTTATCACTAACATTTTTAGATAAGCTTTACTGGGCTGAATATATTCTTTGTGCTTCCATATGCCATGCATAATCTCGAAGAGGAATAGGTCTTCCATCTTTGTCTCAGTAATTAAACTTACAGGGGTGTGTTTTTTTTTAAATTCTTTATTTATAAACAAGTACTTATAGTCATTTATAACACGTAAAACACATATGGATGGCACACCCAAAGTTTTGTATTATAACATACAAGCAGTACTACATACAGGTGCTGACCAACAAGACATTTCCATGATAATGGAGCTTCAGTAAAAAAAAAAAAAAAATAGGGGAAAAAGTAATAACTGAAAAAGAAAGATTAAATATGAGTTGATTGTCTCAGGTAACATGGTCTTCCTGACAGGACATAGTGAAATTATTCAAGGAGTTGTAAATGATAGCAGTATGCTCATCCATTAGACTAGTGCATGCTTGGAATGTGTGGTTCAGCAAAATAATTTTTCCTAGAAAAGAAATTTAGTTTGGTAACCCCAACACTCGTACATGTGACAGTATATCAAAAACAAAAATCATCCAAGAAAAAGATTTGGGGTAACTTTCAGGCATGACAACCAAAATTTGAAAAAACTTGGAACTAGGGCAGCCAGATTCGAAAATGCCACTAGCATAAGTCTTTGAGCATAAACAAAAACCATAAAGGTAATGGGAGCACAATATTTCCACTTACCGGACTGGAAGACAGTTCGCAAGGTGTAGGAACTCTAAATCCATCTCCACTTTTTTTTTTTCTGGCATCAGGAATTACAGTTTGAATCATGAATCAAAACAAAATGTGAAAATTGTTTGTTCCAAGATTCTGGCACTTTGGCAGTTCATACATTGGAATTTCCATCAATCACTCCATCAGTCCAAATTTGGATGGATTGCAGTTTGTTACAAAATAAGTTTCCAACCCTATATTCTGCCTCTTGATTGGACAAGAGATGCAGCTCACATCATTGGGCAGGCCTCTTGCCCATCACGGCAAATTTAGATGCTTATGTCCCCTCCTTAAAAAATCATCTTCTACTCCATTCCATCCCACTTTTCTTGGTGGCAGGAACAGAACTCTGAATCATGAAGCAATTGAACATGATCATCCACTGTGTTAGTTATTTGCTTGTTTTATGTCTGCATGGCACTCCAAAGATACAGAATTTGGCCAAACACATGATTGTCTCAAATTCTGCCAAATCAGTTCAGTTGAAACTGAATGCACAAGTCTATTAACCAGCTATCCTCTTTATGAGCTCTAATATCATGCATGGTTGGAACTACAGTATTCATCCATCTCACTATCAGGTCTATGCATGCAGCTAGAGAAACAATTTTTGAGAGTATCTTGGAAAGCTGTCAATGTGTCTTGGCAAAATAAAAGAACTAGAGTCTAATTTGACTGCTCTGTGAAACACATTGAATAACAAGACCCTGATATTCTCTCAGAATGGAACTACTTGGGGCACTCCGGCTACATCTGCACATTGTCATATTCCCTTATTGCCTCCAACAAAGTTCATAAGGTGCCTTATTTTGTATTGTTTAGAAGTAGTAGTGTAAACGTTAATATCTGATGTGCTCATTCACTATTCACTTCTAAATCCTAATCTTTTTTTTTAAACTGCAGCTCTCATTAACACAATGTTTCAAATACTAGCAATAATAACAAATTAAAGTGCAAATATCCAATTTTACAATTTCTCATGTATACTATATATACTGTTAACACATAACACAGATAAAGAGATTAATTACCAGCCCAAGTTATGAATCTTAGGATTCCTTTTAGTCTCTACTTCTGTCTCTGTTTGGAGGAAAGAGTAATACTTTGATTGTGAAGTATGTCTTCTAAACAGTGAGTTGTGTATCCCTTTCACCAACACACAGGTGGATTTTACTCTAATGTACTGCATGGACAACCACTCATGTTCTGAAATACCTAAAATATCAGTAATAGAGATTTGATCATTTCTTGTTGAGAAAGATAGAAAACCAATTGTGCAGAACATCAATTAGACTGTGAATTACCAAGCTCTTCACCAGCAAGTAAATAGGTTGTACTTTTACCTATATTTGGGACAACCCTTTGTGTCCCCCAGAGTGGTAATCAAATGTAGCTTTCTTTCCTCTCTGTTTGCACAATTTTTCCTCTCTTTTACAAACAGGAAATTATAAGAGACTAAAATGGCTCCTAAAATTGATCATTTGGGCTGGATAATTAATCTCTTTATATGTGTCAGCAATAGAGGTGTAAATGAGAAATTGTAACATTGTATATTTGTGATTGCATTAGTTATTATTACCAGGAGTAGTGTACCAGCTCATCATGATTTTGAACATTTGCTCTTGTAACCCCCACACATATGTTGACCTTGTGGGCAGACTCCAACACACAAAAAAAAAAAAACTTTGTGGTCAGTTACTTTATCACATATGTTTTAGGGGAGTGTGTTTTAAGCACACTTTTTCTGAAGATGCTAAATTATGATAATACGTTTCTGATATAATATATTGAGGTCTTCTACAATACTGCCTTATATGAGTAAATTATATACAAACTAGGTGACTAACTTGGTTGTGTGCTCTTTTAATGGTGTGGGTAGACAAACCCAACTATTTAGTTAGGAAGCCTTAGTAGTGGTCTTCATTTTGTACCCCTAACAGAGAAAATGTTAGGCTTTTCTTAATCATAACTATTTTTTTTTTACTCTCAAAAGTCAGAAAAAGAAACTAAGCTAAAATGTATAATGATATTACTATAGTTTTTTTGTGGGGTTGTATCCATTTGAGGTGTATGTATCTTAACCCCTTAAGGACCAGCCTGTTTTTGCGATGTTGTACGTTAAGGACCAGAGCGGTTTTAACACTTTTGTGGTGTTTGTGTTTAGCTGTAATTTTCTGCTCTCTCATTTACGGTTCCCACACAAATAATATATTGTTTTTTTCAGGACAAGAAGGGCTTTTTTTACATACCATTATTTGTATCATGTCATATATTTTACTTTAAAAATAATAAAATATGGTGGAAAATTGAAAAAAAACATGTTTTTGGACTTTTACTTGAAAAATCTTTTAATTATCTACAAAAGCCAATAAATAAAACTGCTAAATAGATTCAAAATGTTGTCCTGAGTTTAAAAACACCCACTGTTTACATGCTTATTTTTTGCAAGTTATAGGGCTATAAGTACAAGTAGGAAATTGCTCTTTCAATATATATATTTTTTACATTTATCAATAGTGACATTGTAACACTGTTATCTGTCATAAATCCCAGAATCACACCTCACATGTACATTTTTTTTTAAAGTAGACAACCCAAGGTATTTAATAGGGATATGGCCAGTCTTTTTTAGTAGCCACTTAGTCACAAACACTGGCCAAAGTTAGCATTTATATTTGTTTGTGTGATAAAAATGCAAAAATGCTAAATTTGGTCAGTGTTTGTGACTAAGTGGCTACTAAAAAAGGCTGAACATACCACATTTGCAAAACCTTGGGTTGTCTTCTTTTGCAAATGGTATGCCATCATGGGGTAATTCTCATTCCTGGGCTACCATACGCTCTCAAAGGCAACATGATCAATCTGACAAATTTCAATAAAAAAAATGAAGACTTATATTTGACCCTGTAACTTTCAAAAGCACTATAAAACCTCTACATGTGGGGTACTGTTATACTCAGGAGACTTTGCTGAACACAAATAATAGTGTTTCAGAACAGTAAAACCTATCACATCAATAAGATCATCAGTGAAAGTGACGTTTGTGTGTGAAAAATGCAAAAAACGTCACTTTCACTGACCATATCATTACTGTGATACGTTTCACTGTTTTGAAAGACTAATTTTTGTGTTCAGCGAAGTCTCCCAAGTAAAGCAGTACCCCCCCATGTACAGGTTTTAGGGTGTCATAGAAAGTTACAGGGTTAAACATAGTGCTAGCAAAATAAATTCTCTTGACTTTTGGCCTGGGTTCTCAGGCATGTCCCTCAAATTGCAATCAATAAAATTACTTAATTTACATAAATAATTACATAAATATGCACATAGAATTTAAATATATATACATATTTATATATTTGAAGTCTATGTGTATATTTATGAAATTATTTATGTAATTATGGACATATGTATATTTCGTATTTTTTTTTTATACATAGAGATATATATATATATATATACATATATATATATATAATTTCATTCTAAGTGTATTTTGATATAAATATATGTTAATATCAAAATACGTTAGAATAAAACTATATATATATATATATCATTTTTTTTCAAATTAATAAAAATTATTTTTACATTTTTTTTATTTATTTTTATATACGTATTATTTATATTTTAAAATATATATATATATATATATATATACACACACAATATATATAGTTATTATATATATCGTGTATATATACATGTGTAATTTATTTTTAAGTGTATTTTTTATATTAATAAATGTGTATATAAATATAAAAATGCACTTAGTATGACTATATATATATATATATATATATATATATATATATATATATATATATATATATATACAGGGAGTGCAGAATTATTAGACAGGTTGTATTTTTGAGGATTAATTTTATTATTGAACAACAACCATGTTCTCAATGAACCCAAAAAAACTCATTAATATCAAAGCTGAATATTTTTGGAAGTAGTTTTTAGTTTGTTTTTAGTTATAGCTATGTTAGGGGGATATCTGTGTGTGCAGGTGACTATTACTGTGCATAATTATTAGGCAACTTAACCAAAAACAAATATATACCCATTTCAATTATTTATTATTACCAGTGAAACCAATATAACATCTCAACATTCACAAATATACATTTCTGACATTCAAAAACAAAACAAAAACAAATCAGTGACCAATATAGCCACCTTTCTTTGCAAAAATACAACTTGCCTAATAATTCTGCACTCCCTGTATATATATATATATATATATATATATATACACACATTTTTTTACACAGATTACATTTTATTTTAGGATTTTCCACTTGCAGGGAGACTGCCTGTCAGCACAGACAGTCCCCCTGCAGGCAGATACACAGGCACCTATTGCGGTCATGTGATCGAGTGATCACGTGACCGTGGGGTCCTGTTTTGCCGCGGGGAGACTGCCTGGGTAGACAGGCAGTCCCCTGGACCGGGAGGAGCGCTGATCGCCGCTGGGAGACTGACGGCGATCAGGTAAGTACCCCAAGACGTTATGACGATTCAGGACCGTCATCGGTCGTCAAGGGGTTAAGGAAACACATCATCAACATATACATGTGTATATGCCTTCAACTATGCTATTGAATGTAAAATGCTCTGGACTGTGGAACTGTAGCATCATTGAATGTTGGTACAAGCTGATACCACTGCCCTCTATGGACTAAGAACTGCAGGCATTGCTTGGAAACCATAAATCTGCATGCTAATATCACACTCTTGTACATTCCTAATTGCCTGGAGAACATAAATTTACAGACATTGTTAAGATACCATTTAACCACATATTCAGCATTATGATATTAGATGCCAAGACACTCATGATTGCATATATACTGGACTGCGAAAATTAATTCCGGTCTGTTGGTCTGTATCATATTCATTCTAAGCCACACCTGAACAAATATATTTTCCCAGGATATAAATGTGGAGTCCTTTTCATTGAATACCTTTTTACATTTCCCCCGCATTTAATTGAATATTTTTCAGTGTTCAGTTTTTCTGTTTTTAGGATCCTGAGTCTTTAGTGTTAGCTAATTTCAACCTTTAGTTATAAATTTAAAATGCTGTATTAAAGATTCACAACATATCATATATGCATTAAGGGATTTCAGATTGAAACATGGGAGATTTTACCATCTCCAGAGATGTTAGACTGCAAAAGAAAGCACATTTGCTCCATCTCTTCCTAAGTCATGCCATGGTTGGCATTCCAATATCTTTGTAGATAGTATGCCTTTCATCAATATACAATTTGGTATGACCATTTCACTGATTATTAGATTTTTATTTGGTCTTTGGTCTTAATCTCATTAGTACTACTAATTAAATCTGAGGGAATTTAGTTCTGCATTAAGCAAGCTGCTGTTCAGCTTCTGCAGATCAGGAGTTTGATATTATGCAGATATGTATCGGTACTAGAAACAAAGAATGCGACTAAGAACAGGCACCAAACAAGATAACAAAATCATTTAAGAAGAACCTTGGGAACGAACGGGACCAGAAGCAGGACATGACAGAACTGTACATGAACTAGGAATAACAGACTCAAATAAAACAAGACAAGAGATACAAAGGCAAAACAAGAGGAAATATATAAATGGTAGCTCCCTTGGCATTGTGTTTACACCTGAATTCTCCAGACAGCAAACTACTTAAAACTTGAGGCTTATATAGAGGTGGTCACATTTTGTTGATGATTAATTGTTAAGGGCATTTTATTAGCAGCATCTGTCATTCTGCATGCCTCTTAGTACTATGGAAGCAGTAAGGTATATTTACTTATTTACAAATGGCTTCTCCATTTGACTTTTATAGTTGTTAAAATAAATCATGATATGGTGTAATATGTCATTTGCTGTTTGTTCATCAGAGGTTGTATTTAATTGTATGCGACTTGCCAGGGGCGTATTAGCCCTGAGGGCAAACAAGAATTTGCCTTGGGTGGCATTTTCGGGGTCCCCAAGTACTTGGGGCAAATGCCTGGTGGTGCTTTTACAGTCGAGGCTGAGGGCGGCTGGCGAGGGAAGCTCTTCCTCTGGCGGTCTGCTCAGCTTCCTGCGTCTTGCCCTTGAAGTGAAGACTGGGAACCAGGTCGATGGCGTCATATTCGGTTTGCAGCCTCACTCTGCGGTCTGTGAAGTAATGAACTTCTCTCCACTCTACTTAACGCTTTCAACCATCAGTCCGACCAGCAGCCACTGGACCACCAAGGGAAAGAGGAACTAGCACTCCCAAGGTGGGGCTGGGGGGTCATCAAAAATGAGTGATTGTGTGGTGATGGCTGACTGTGTGTGTGTGTGTGTGACTGTGTGTGTGTCTGACTGTATGTGTGTGTCTGACTGTGTGTGTGTTTGTCTGACTGTGTGTGTGTCTGACTGTGTGTGTCTGACTGTGTGTGTGTGTGTGTCTGACTGTGTGTGTGTGTGTCTGACTGTGTGTGTGTTTGTGTCTCTGACTGTGTGTGTGTGAGGTGTATGTTTGTGTCTGACGGTGTGTGTGTGTTGTCTGACTGTGTGTGTGTGTGTTTGTCTGACTGTGTGTGTGTTTGTCTGACTGTGTGTGTTTGTGTCTGACTGTGTGTGTGTTGTGTCCTGACTGTGTGTGTGTGTGTTTGTGTCTGACTGTGTGTGTTTGTGTCTGACTGTGTGTGTGTGTTTGTGTCTGACCTGTGTGTGTGTGTGTCTGACTGTGTGTGTGTGTGTCTGACTGTGTGTGTGTTTGTGTCTGACTGTTTGTGTGTGTATTTAGAATGTGGGGCGCAGGGAGGGGGGTGCCTAGGGCAGCACAAAACCAGGATACACCACTGCGACTTGCTAAGGAACAGCTGATTCTTATTCTGTCCTGATATGTAAAACCATAGAATTCAAAGAGGGTGTACTTTCTTATTCTCATTACTGTATTTATAAATTAATTGTTAAAGAAAACATTTGTATTGTTACTCTTATTTTCAGATTCTAATAATAGTTTCTTGAATGAAAAGAATATAGAAAAAAATGAATCTTTTTTTTAAAAGTTGTACATTTTTGTAAAAGTTTTGAGAGTGGGATCTCTTTGATATATATATATATATATATATATATATATGTATATATACAATCACCTTCTTTGCTATTCTGAATTGTAAAGGCCTTCAGAAAAAATACCTAAAAAGAATCTGAATTTAGAATACATGCAGTTCAAGATACTGAGGTTGTCTGTATATCTCAGGTTTATTCACCTTGTGCTTTTAAGAGGATCATTTGGAGCAAAACGGAATAACACAGGCCACTATTAGAAAATTCTTCATCCAAAATCAAAAACATTCAACCGAGTACTAAAAACATGAATATAACTATAAAAGTCTTATTTCTTTTTGCAATTGAATGACATGCACTGTAAGCAATACAACCTGAATTCTTGGTGTAAATGTCTTTATGTTTCCTATATAGAATCATGTGGCATTATCTATTTTTAAGATTCTCCAAAATGCTTAAGCAAAAAACAGCACTTTTAGAATATTTCTTAATGCAAAATGAATGATGGTAATGCACAAGATAATTAATTTTTTTTCATTATGTCATATTTTGATATATATTTTGTATGTTGCTTAGATTTTTAGTATTGCATTAACTTGACCTTTTTTGGACAAAATGACTTTCTGAAAACATTTAAAATAATAAGATAGAAATTTGTTATTTTAATGTAAGAAAAGTTATGATTAAGTTGTCATGGGTACAGGAT